TATGTGTACTAACTAATTTAAGCCTGAAAACAGCCTTAGGAAGGAGTTATTATTATTCCCAGGCAGTGCTGCGCAGGGCCACAAGGACCTAGGACACAAAATTTAAGGTGGCCTCCACCCTCAGAGTCCTGCTAGTGCAGAGCTGGCCCTGAGAGTGGGGCTTTCCTTGAATGTTGAAGCTTAGTCCTGGCCTTGGTGCTGAGCCACCGGGGGTCTGAAGTCCTCTTTGGTTTCATAACCAGAAGTGCTGAAAAAGAAGTCTTCAAAAGCCAAAGGGAGAAGGAAGCAGTAGCTGGTGATCTGGAAAATCCATAAGCAGCACCCTTGAGAGCAGGCCGCCTCCACAGACCTGGGACAGACAGGAGGCTGCTGAGGCTTCTGTCGCCCACGCTGCCAGGTGGGCAACTCGGGCTGTTCTTTTCCTTTTTTCTTTTTTTTTCAGTTTTATTGAGATATAATTGACATATAATACGGTATTGGTTTAAGGTGTACAACACAATGATCTGATGTATGCATATATTATGAAATGATTACCACAATAAGTTTAGTTAACATTCATCACCTCACGTAGTTTCAATATTCCTTCCTTGTGATGAGAACATTTAAGGTCTTCTTTCTTGGCAATTTTCAAATATATGATATAGCGTTGTTAACTGCGGTCACCTCACTATGTATCACACCCTCAGAACTTATTTATCTTGTAACTGGAAGTTTGTACCTTTTGATCACCTTCATCCAATTCCCCCATCCCCCACTCTCTACCTCCAGCAACCTCCAATCTGTTCTCTGAATCTATGAGTTTGTTTTTTTGTTTTTAGGTTCCACATATTAGTGAGATCACACAGTATTTCTCTTTCTCTGCCTGATTTATTTCACTTAGTTTAGTGTCCTCTGGGTCCACCCATGTTGTTGCAAATGGCAAGATTTCCTTCTTTCTCATGGTAGAATTGTATACAAACACACACACACATATATATACACACACACATACATAATGAGTTCATTATCAATTTTGAATATTAACCCCTTATCAGATATATGATTTGCAAATATTTTCTCCCATTCAGTAGCTTGCTTTTTCGTTTTGTTGCTGGTTTTCTTTGCTGTGCAGAAGCTTTTGAGTTTGATATGGTCCCACTTGTTTATTTTTGCTTTTGCTTCCTGTGTTTTTGGTGTCAGATCTAAAATATTATTGCCAAGACCAATGTCCTGGAGCTTACCCTTTATGTTTTCTTCCCGGAGTTTAATGGTTTCAGGTTACATTCAAGTCTTTAATCCACTTTGAGTTAATTTTCATATATGGTGTTAAGACAGTGGTCCAGTTTCATTCTTATGCATGTGACTGCCCAGTTTTCCCAACACCATCCATTGAAGAGACTACCCTTTCCCCATTGTGTATTCTTGGCTCCTTTGTTGTAAATGAATTGACCACAGATATGTGGGTTTATTTCTGGGCTCTCTAGTCTGTTCCATTGATCTGCGTGTCTGTCTTTATGCTGATACCATACTGTTTTGATTACTTTAGTCTTGTTATACAGTTTGAACTCAGAAAGTGTGATGCCTCCAGCTTTGTTCTTCCTTCTCAAGATTGCTTTGGCTGTTCAGGGTTTTGAGACTTCATAACGAATTTTAGGATTGCTTTTTCTACTTCTGTAAAAAATGCCATTGGACGGGCTGTTCTTAATGAGCCCCAGGAAGGAGTTCCTCCACCCGGATGGAGAGCCGCTCTCCCTTCACCATTGGGAGCACCACTACTAATGTCTCTTGTTGCCCAAGAGCTTATTTCCTCCGTCTTAGCTCTAACAATAACTCTACAAGTGTTGTTCCCACAGACTCAAACAGAGAGCTATCTCTTGGCCTTCTCTCCCTTAGGCCTTGACAATGCTCCCATAGTCTCTGTAATTTTTTCTTGGTATTCTTCATTTGCCATCTTTGTAAGGAGCTCCCCTGTATGTTAGTGTTATGATAAATGAAATGAGGATGTCTAAAAGCCCAAGTGGCTTTGGGGGCAGGAGCCTTTGATGTACATGGCATCATCTGACTTTAAATTCCGAACTCCTATCCTGCCACTTAGAGAGACTGACCTCTGTCTGAATCCAGAAACCTCCTCATACCATTTTTGGCAGGCCAGAAAGGATTTCTTAAGATCCATCGTGGCTTTGCTGCCTGGGGGAAGATGGCAGTTGCCGCATCTGCACTGTGAACCCAGCATCTTCCTGTCTTGCTTGGCCCGGCATTTTGACAGCACCTAAATGAGTCATTGGTTTCCGGAAGAGCTTAGGGACACAGATATGTGGAAGGCACAAATGAGAGAAATTTCCTAGACACGTGGAGACTGCATGGAAAGTAAAACACCCCGGTAGAGGGTGCCAGGCAAAGAGGAAGGATTCGGTAAGGCCATGCCAGCGAAGCCAGGGAGGAGTAAGAGGGAATGGAATGTCTCAAATGACTGTGCCCACTTCCAATGTCCCCTGGCTCATTCTGAGGTCAGAAAAGGATTGAAGAATCCTTTGATTCTTTTTGAGGGGTGGAAAAGATCATGGTACCAGCTGTGGGCAATTCTTGCTCTTGAATGCAGTTAATTCAGCTACTGGAAAAGAAGACCAAAGCTACACAAACATCAAAATGACTAACGAGAAGGGAGCCACAGAAAGCAAAGGCAAACAGCTGTGTGGCCTTGAGTAAGCCAACTTCTCTCCCTGGGCCTCAATTTCTTCTTCATTAATATAAGTGCAGACAGGGATGAAGCAGAAGCTAAATGATCGCCAAGCTTCCTTACAACTCTAAAATTCTAAGATCCCTGAGCCTAGATATTCTCTGATGCAATTCTTAACTCCAAAATTCTGCAGTTCTATGATTATTCTTCTCAAGATGACTTTTAAATAAGTCTATGGGTCTGGAGAGACAGGTGCCCTGGAGGTTCATATACTCCTGGGGAGTAAACTGAATGCTGTGCGTCCTGTCCACCATCAGATCTGCGTTAGGGACCCATATGGGACAGAGCACAGTGGGCGAAGTGTGTGCTTTCCTTCCTCGGCATCCACGGCAAGCTATTTTCCTTCTACTACAACTTCCTACCTGCTCCTTTCTTCCTTTACTTAGCAATTCCTCATTGAATGCCTACTATGTGCCAGGTGCATGGCAACTAAGGAACGATGAAGTAAAGAGGGAGTCTAGACAGTAGATGGAGAAGCAGGTGCAAGAAAAAGCTGCTTCTCTCCACCCTTCTCCTGCTCCTTGTCTCCTAAACATAGATGTTCCTCAAAGAGCTGGCCTGTTCTCATTCATTCCACAAACATCCATTGAACATTTACTGCGTGCTGGGCATATGCTGGGCACAGGGAACCCAGAGATGAGTAACACCTAATTTTCGTCCTCTCAGTTAATCAATCAACATTCTGTAAAGAAGTGCTTATGAAGAGCCTACGGGGAGGACAGACGATTAAACAAAACAGACATGTAAGAATAGTGGTCATACAGCCCAATAGGAGCTATGACAGGGGGTGGGTAGACATGCAGAAGGTAAATAAGTGACACAGAGGGAACAATGGGCTGTGCTCTGCGTGGATTAAGGAGGGCTTCTAAGAGGAGATGGTTGTTTTCCCACATGGACAGGAAAAGAAAGGGAATTGCAAGCAAAGCATGAGCGAAGGGATGAAATAGTTTGGCACTTTAAGGAAAATGATAGACTGTGCTATGTATGTGGGAGGGTGGGGGGCTGTGCCGGGGGGTGACACATGGATTTCGGCTGGAGGAGCGTGCGGGACCTAGCCCATAGAGAGGTCTGGTGGGGATGCTGGGGAACTGGGACTTAAGCCTGTGAGCGGTGGGGAACCTGTGATGGTGGGGAGGCTTACACAGGGAGTGAACGGATGGAGCTCGTGTCTTGCCTCAGTTTCCTAGGGCTGTCATGACAAAGTCCCACAAACTGGGTGGCTTCGCACAGCAGCAACGTATGCTCTCAGGGCTCTAGAGGCCACAAGTCTGAAATCAAGATATGTGTAGGCTTGGCTCCTTTCTGGAAGCTCTGAGGGAGAATCTGCTCCTTGCCTCTCTTCTGGCTTCTGGTCCTTGATGGCAATCCTTGGCATTCCCTGGCCAAGGGGAGAATCTGGGGAAGAAAAGATCTAAGGAGGTATAGTGGATGAAAAAAGTGAAACTAACCTGTCTACTGGTCTCGGTGATGCTAATTTGATGTGTCAACTTGACTGGCTATGGGAAAGTGGGTCAGTATTTGGTCAGACGTTATTCTGGGTGTGTCTGTGAGGATCTTTTTTGGGTGAGATTAACATGTGAGTAGGGGGATTGAGTAAAGCAGATTGCCTCCCTAAGGTGGGGGCGCCTCATGCAATCAACTAAAGACCTGAATAGAACAAAAAGGCTGATCCTCCCGCGAGTAAGAGTAAGAGGGAGCTCCTCCTGCCTGCCTGCTTGAGCTAGATGCCAGACTTTTGCTGCCTTCAGACTTGAACTGAAATATCAGCTCTTCTTGGGTCTCAAGCCCGCAGGCTTTTGGACTGGAACTTACACCATCCGTTCTCCTGGGTCTCAGGCCTTTGGACTCCAGCTGGGGCTAGACCACTACACCATCGGCTCTCCTGGGTCTCTAGCTTGCCAACTGGAGATCTTGTTACTCCTGTGAGCCAATTCCTTACAATAAGAAATATCTCTTTTTCTGTCTATCTATCAATCTACCCACACACATCCTGTTGGTTCTTTTTCTCTGGAGAACGTTGACTAATATAGTCTCATAGAGAAAAAAATTTAAAGAAAGTAGGACTTAAGATTTGTAGGCACTTCATTTCAATCTCTGCTTCTGTCATCCAATGGTACTCTTCCCGTGTGTGTCTCTGTGTCTCTTCTCCTCTTCTCCTAAGGACACCAGTCATATTAGAGGAGGGCCCACTCTAAGTGACTATGACCTCACCTTATCTTGATTACATCTATAAAGACTCTATTTTCAAGTAAGTTCACATTCACAGTTATGGGGATTAGGACTTCAATATACCTTTTGGGGGGACACAATTCAACCCACAACGGTGCTAAGAGTAGGACATCAGGCTGTAAGTAGGCAGAAAAATCCAGACAACAGAAAGAGGACTTAACCCAGAGTGGCAGGCACAGTCAGGGGTTAGAGATGGAAAGAACTGATCTGAGCGACACTGGGAGGGCAGAATCCACGACATGAGTGACAGAGATTCAATTCTGAGGGAGTGGGAAGGGGAGAGATCCAGATTCTAGCTCAGGCAATAGACGGATGGAAGGTGATGACCAGGATATCCAGGAGGAGTGGCAGGTTTGAGAGAAAGAGAATGCCGTTGATTTTGTACATATTGAGTTGAAAGAGCCCATGGGACCCCCAGGTGAAGAGGGGCAAGAGAAAGACAGATGCAAGAGTGAGCCTTGAGAAAGAGACGTGGGCTGGAGCTGTGGCCTTTGGGGTTGTCAGTGCATAGACGGCTACTGTGTAAGGAGGTCAGTGGTGGGGATGGAGTAACAAGAGGGGACTAGCTAATGAAAACAGAAGGGTGCTGACAACAGAATCCAGGCAGGACCTGGAGATATAAGGAAATATAAGGGATGCACAAAGCAAGAGAAGCCTATCTATTGGTCTCATAGAGAAAGAACACAGAAAGAACACAGGACGTCTTAAGTCCCAGTTTCGCCCAATATACCTCCTAGAGAATCCTTACTTCACGTGGGGGTGTGGGGGAGGATTCAGGATGTTTCAGCATGAGAAATCACCTGAGTTCCGACTCCATTGCACTTCCTTCCATTCTAAGGATGAGGCTGGACCTCTCTATTCCCACATCACCTTCCCCCTATTTCCACTGTTCTTTGAGGATGCTGCTGGGTGCTGAAGGCCTCAGCAGACCCCTTGTTAAGGCAGAGATATAAGAAGGTGCCCCCCACCCCAAGCTGCCTTCCCTCCCGTCCATCACCACTCCTCAAACCCTGACCAATGGGCCACATCATAAGGCAACCATCAGGCCTCAGTACGAATCATAAAGGAAGCTACTTCCTTACGTCTGAGGCTTTGTCCTACCCTGAGCGGAGCTGGCAGAATGACTAAAACCAGCAGATTTTTCCCGAGACAGTAATGCTTTAAAGCGACTTTTGCATGCCCTTTCCTTTACATTTTAATGGCACTCTAATGTTGAATTAAAATGGAATTCCCGTGGAAATGTACAATGTCTAAATCGATACCGGCTGATTAGTGTCATGAGGATGAATATCAAAAGATATAATAGCAATGGAAGGGCTCAAACCAGGGTGAATAAAGCCGCCAGTGTCCATTAACTCAAGCCTGACTAATGCTAAATTACAATAAAATATCTAGGAAATTCTGGCCAGAATCACTTTAAAGCCCACAAAATGTAGGCTAATTAGCACTATGATGACAAATGCAGGAAGAATTCATTATGCCCAAAGACTCCTCATAAAGGCCAATTTTACAAACGCGGCCATTTTTACCAACACAATTCCTAGAAGGCCGTGAGTGGCTTAACCACCACTGAGCTGCCACTTACCATGTGCCGAGAGAAGCCGGGCTTCGTGTGAGCCTCAGGGAATGAGCTACAACCCGCCTCCTCCCTCCATTACTCAGCGCAGTGTGCATTTTCCCCTCCCCTTAATCGTAGCTATCGACCTGTCTTTGCATCTCTCCATCTGGTTGTCTGTCTATCCATTATAGAGTAACCATTATGAGTGCAGACTGTTGTGTCAGATATTCCAAGCCTGCGTTCTGCTGCTGCCTCTTCCTACCCACGTGACTTTCTGAAGGTTGCTCTGTCCCTCAGTTTCCCCATATGAAAAATGGGGATAATAACAATACCCACTCATAGGGTAGGTGTGAATATCAAATGAGTTATTGCATCTATTTAAAGGGACTTTGATAGTATGTACACCAGTAGCATGCAGCAAGTGTGAGCTACCATTTATTTTTCTCCTCTTCCTTTTTTCAACCTACTCAAGAGGCAGTAGGATGAAAAAGAAGACATTTGGACAACTCTGCCCTGTCAACCCCTCTCTGCTCAGAGGTGCACAAAGGCATGGAGTGTTACAGAGGAAGAAACTTTGAATGGAGAACACTCAATTCGAGCCCATTCATTAATAGGTGAAGAATCCGAGGCCCAACAGCAAGGTGACTTCCTAACTTCAACCAGGTAGTTCTCTTCCATTTAAACATTTTTTTAAGTGCCTACAATGTCTAGCCTGTGTGTTGTTACTACACCACAATGATGAATTAGTTCTTGTTCTTATGCAAACTACCACATTGTGAGGGACCAAACACATCCACGAAACGTGTAGGTGTAATATGCCGGGATGTGTTAATGACAGAGGGATGCAGACATTAAACGGCTGTGGGAGCAGAGGAGAGACACTGAGCCCAACCTGAAGATGTGGAGGTAGCTTCTTAAAGGAGCTGATGCTTGAGTCTGTTCTGAAGGAGAATGAGTTAGCCAGGCAGTGAAAGAAAGGAGGAAAATTCAGTGCATGAGCAAAAGCACAGGGGTGCAAAGACAAGATGAGTATGGGGCAGCCACTGGTAGTTTGTCAATATGGGAACATACAGCACAAGAACAGACAGTGGCAAGAGATGAGATTAGATAGGCTTTTTGTGCCTTGGCAAAGAGATTAGGATTATTTCTGCAGATGATAGGGAGCCTAAGCAGGGGAATAATGCATTTACATTTAGATGGAACATTCTGTCTTTACTTGGAGGGTGAATTTCGAGGGAATAATATGGAATGAAGGATTTCAAAAGAGGGCTGATTTCAATAAGCTGAGTAAGAGCTGCTAACAATCCGAACTAAGGCACAGAAGTATGGAAAGGAGTGACAGACCTGGAAAGTATTTAAGAGATAAAGTCAGGTGGACTTGGTGACTGGTCAGATGTGGGGGATGAGAGAGAAAGGAGTATAGGATGATTTCAAATTTTTCACCTGGGTGACAAGATGGATGATAGAATTATGGATTGAGAAAGTGAGGCTATAGGAAAGAGGAGAATTAAGATGAGAAAGGATAATTGGCCAGGACTGCTAGGCAAGTGGAGGGCAAGTGTGACTCTCAAGGAAGAGATTAGGGCTGAAGAGAGGGATTTGGTGGCCATCAACATACAGGGAATACTTAAAACAATGAGTTACTAAGTACTGGGTCAAGGACTCATGCCTGAGGACAGCGTATTGAAGGGGGAGGCTGAGGCGTCTTCTATGAAGAAGTTAAAGAGATCATTGAAGAGGTGCGAGCCGAAACAAAGGAGACGAGTACACGGATGCCAATAAAGCAGGGAGTTCATGGTCACAACGTTAATGCAGAAGGGATGTCTGATGACATAAGGACTGAAAAGCATCCAGTGGGTATGACCTAATATGCCTGGCTGCACACTAACCTTGGCTAGGGCAGTTGAAGTAGAGCAGTGAGGGAGACCAGATTGAAACGGGTTGAGGAGTGATTAGATTGTGAATTGGCAGAGACAATGAGTATAGACCTGTGTTCCAGGAGCACAAGAGGATGAGAGACAGGTTGCTGGTTGGAGGAAGATTTAGAGTCAAGAGAGGGACTCTGTGAGGAGAGACTTAGGTGTGTTTACTGGCAGAGACAAAGAACCAGGAGAGAATAAAAGGTTGAAGATGCAGCAAGGAAAGAAGCAGTTGTTGAAACAAAGTCCTTGGGCAAGAGGGAAAAACGTCAAGAACTACAAGGATTAGATAACTGGGAAGCGGAGAGGGGCACTTTGTCCTCTGATGACAGAGGAAAGAAGCTGCCCACGGAAGAAGAGCTGATAAATTTGAAGTCACGGTGATGGAGGAGGTTGGAAGTTGAAGTCCTTAATTCTTGATGGTCTCGTTTTTTGAGGAAGTAGGATCAAATTTGCGGTGCTGCAAGTGTGGGACAGGGTTAAGTAATGGATTTAGGAGAGAATATCTTGAATATAAAGGGACCATCAAGCAGTGCAGAGAGTTAACTGAGGTTAGCAGCCCAGCTGGGATATGAGCCCAGGTCTGCAGATTCTTGGAGGATGGTAGCTCTGTTGGAGCGTTTATCTTCAACCTTGGTGATATTTTCATACCATTGGCTTCTAGTTCCTGTATTTCTCATTGAATTCCAAAACAAGTCATTCTGTATCTACACAGCTTAGGACAAATTCCCAGAATTACTGCTGCCTGGCTCCTTGTTTGAACTTTGGTCTATGTCAAGTAGGAATATTTAAAATCCTACTTATAATATAGATATTGATTCTGAGAAGCAAGAACCCTCCCACGCCTCTCTGTCCAAAGCCAAAATAAGTACGTCGTTCAACATATCTGCTGCTCTCAATCCTATAACAAATCCAAACGTCTTCACATCACCCTTCTTTCCTTCCCTTGCTGTGGAATAGGCACCACCATGGAAAATCAGGGCCTGTTTTGGGTCTCAGTAATCCGGAAGAACAATGCACTTCAGGGCCCAATGTCTAACAGCCGATTTCCTAGAAGCAACTGCAGAGGGTGAGGACAACCCAAAATTCATCTGTAAGTAGAGAGCCGTAATTGGTGACCTTTCTCAAAGCCAAGAGACAACTGGTGGTCTGCTTTCTTCCTATGGGCTAAGATCCTGGGGACTCTGACAGTCCCACAGCACACTGTAAGCAGAAGCAAGCAGGACACAGATGATTGTGGCTGTGTCTGGGAGTATTTGCTGGGGCTGGGGGGTATGGGGGAAAGGGCATGGTGGGAGAATAAATGTGGATCTCCCAGAAGCACTGTGGTTGGACATTTTCCTGATGGAAGCTGGAGCAGAGTTCTAAATCCTGGAGGTTTGTGGCCATACCCCCCATGCCTGTCTGAATCTACTGTCAGCCACAGGTCTTTCTTGTCTACTCAGTTTTGGTTGTCGCATTAGAGAGTTCTGGAGAGTCCTATGACATCATTGTGCTTTCCTGGCATTTATGTAACTATTATAGCAATGAAATAGCCTAGACTTTGCTAAAAAGTTGAAAAATCCAGAGGCTTCTTAAAAATATTGAGAGAGAAAATTAAAAGTGTTGTCATAATAGAAGGCAAGATATTTTGTGAGAATAGGGTGTGTTTCATTTTTTTCTTATTTGTGTAACAAATTGTCCTGAAACATAATGGCTTAGACAACAACCATTGAATTTGTTCATGATTCTATGGATCCACAATTGGGGCCAGGCTCAGCAGGGACAGCCTGACTCTGTCTGGTATTGATAGGTACTCTCAGGATTAGAGGACCCGAGATGTCCTTAATCACATGTGTGGGCACTCAATGCTGGAAGTCAGCTGGGGCCCCTCAGTGCTCCTGCACTTGGCCCCTATCCAGCAAGTTGGGCTGGACATCCTTACTCGGTGGTTCAGACTCCTAAAGCACGAAAGAGGAAGCTGCCTATAAAGGGAAAACTCCGTTTTCCTCCTCCTGTGTAAGGAAAAAACCCAGCTCTTCCCTCCTGTGTGTTTCTTTCTGTGTGTCTCCTTTACCTTCACAGAGAATGCTTCACTTCTGCTCACCAAGCGTGTGGAGGTTTTTCCTGACACCACACAATTCTCTGTGACACCAGCTGGGTGTCCTGCAATTTAACTCCATTCTGATGCTCTCTACCCAGAGACAGCAGCAGATCCCACAGGTTAAAGGCTCAGTCCCACAATACGGTCCCCCAATGCACTTCAGATGCTAACCCCAAGAAATCGGTCCCAGGTTAATCAACTTCTGCTGATTTGGCTACAAATCAGAGGTTCCCACAACCCCCTCCTCAGGTTTGATTAATTTGCTAGAGTGGCTCACAAAACTCAGGGAAACACTTACTTAGGTTTACCAGTTTATTAAAGGATATGATAAAGAATGCAAATGGACAGCCGGATGAAGAGAGAACATAGGGTGAGTTCTGGGAGGGCCCCCAGAGCAGGAGCTTCTCTTCCCCTGGAGTTGGGGTGCTTCACCCTCCCAGGGGTCTGGAAGCTCTCAGAACCCTTTACCACTGGGAGTTTATGGAGGTTCCTCGTGTAGACATGATCAATTATTAACTCCATTTTCAGTCCCTCTCTGGAGGATGGGGGCATGCAGCTGAAAATTCCAAGCTTCTAATCATGGCTTGGTCTTTCTGGTGACCAGCCCCCACCCAGGAGTCATCCAGGACCCCAGCCAGAGTTGCCTCATTAGAACAAAAGACGCTCCTAGCTCTTATCACTTAGGAAATTCCAAGAGTTTTAGGAGCTTTATGCCAGGAACAGGGGACAGAGACCAATATGTATTTTCTATTATCTCACACTACCAGACCTCAGAAGCCCTAGGTACAGGAGTCACACAGCATGATCTCTGCCACATTTTGGTCAAAGCAGTAACTAGGTCAGCCCAGATTCAAGGAGAAGGAAAACAGACTTCACCTCCTGACGGGAGTTGTGGCATGTGCCGAGAGTTTCAAAGTAGAGTACCTCAAGATCTCCATCTCATCCAAGTCTGGATGAGACTTCTGGAGACCTGTGAACTAAAAGGACAAATTATCTGCCACCACACACGCATCATACAAGGATAAGACAGGGACACCTCATTTAAAAGGAGGAGTTGGGAGCACAAGCAATCACTGATCAAGAGCAATTCTGAAATCCAGGTATACGTTGTCAGGTCCCCTGACTCCAGCGTCAAGGAAGGTCCCTTGATCGGCATCTGTTTCTGCTTTCTGGAAGGGGTCCCCCAATCTTTCATTTTCTTCAGCTCTTGGCTGTGCGTTTGGGCTCCACCCTTTGAACCACCTTTTATTTTCTATAAGAAATAGATTTTCTTTTCACTCAAGTAGCTTTCTCAGTCTGCTTTCCGTTCAAAGAAAATTGGGGGTCCAGAGTCCTCTTTATTTTTATTGGCCTCTATCCTAAAATCTAAGCTAGCAGTGCTTTCTTCAATATACTTCACTAAAAACCTTCATACATTTTCTATGAATCTTATTGGAGTTGATTCTATTACACTAAGGTAGATCATTTCCAAAGATGGCCACAAAAGTCTCTCCAATTCCATGTGCACTTCTGAAAGGTAACTTTACCACTGCTTCCACCAAGATTTGGAGTGTTTTCCCTCTCTCGCTGAATCCACACTGAACTTGTGACTTGATTTGACCAACAGTACAAGGTAGAAGTGATACTGTGTCGCCTCCAGGCCTAGGCTTTAAGAAACCTGGTGGCTTCTGCTTTTGTACTCTTGGAGCCTTTCTCTGCCATGGAAGAAAGTCCAGACTCTCTCCTGCTGGAGAAGGAAGCCAAATGGAGGAGCACTGAGACACCCCAGCTTCCTGGCAGGAACAAGGCCCGAGACACGAACACAGACACATGAGTGACTCCAGTGACCTCATGTGTCCCCATTGAGCCTTGCCAGAATTTTTGATGCATAGAATTGTGGGCAATAAAGTAGGAAGGAACCCTGAGGCCCCTTGGCAAATACTCGGAAGGGTACCTCTTAAGTTTGTCTCTCTCTTTTTCTAAATAGGTTTGTACATTTCATTAAGTTAGAGTCAATACTTCTAAGTCCTAAAGTTCTTCTTTCCGATTTGGTATTTCTTTATTCTAGCATTTCTCAAAGAGAAGACAAAATTTCTCCCAGAGGACTTTTGGCAGTGTCTGGAGACATTTTTGTTGTCACAACTTGGGGATGGGGTATGGTGGTGCTACTGGATGCTGGCGTTTACAGGCCAGGGATACCCCTCAACATCCTGAAATGCAGAGGACAGCCCCACAACAAAGAGCTATGCAGCCCCAAATCTCAACAGCGCTGAAGTTGAGCAAGCTCCTTTATTCCTATTCATTTCCTGTTGATTAATGATGGAATTCTTAGAGCGCACTCACGCTTGACGTCTTCAAGCGGTAAAAGGTATCACTGTCCCCATGCACTACTACTTTCAAGAAATGCTGTGTTCATTATTGGCTATTTGTGTTTCTTGAATTTTAGTGATTTCTGTATCACTTTCACTTTTTAGCCGATCATCGTTGTATAAGACAATTTGTACTCTAGTATACAGCAACAAATTGCTTGCCCTGAATTTACATTTAGCTGTTTTTCTTTAATAAAAATCAAAGAATTGTGTGTCCTGCCTTTGTAAGTCCTAAACACATAGCGTAAGTTTTTGCCGACTGTGAATTTTTAATACTAACTTCAAATAAAACAGTTTTTTGGAGACCATAATGTCGGTTTTAAAAAATGAAAAATCTAAAACCATCTACTTCCACGTGGAGTAGCATAGCAGCTAAGAGAGTTGTCAGCCTCGTAGGGAGAACATGGCTTACACTGCCGCATGGTGATGGTCCATTTCGCAGAGTTCTTGGTGAGATGCTGACATGAGCATTCTGTGTCTTTGGGAGATGCCTTCAAAAGGCCAGGCAGCCAGGTTCCCCAATGGCAGATGGCATCAGGAGGTGACCAAGCATGGCTAAGAGGTGATGCCACAGAAATTCTGAGGAAAGACTCACAGGCCCTCTAGATTAAATGAGAACTTGAAACCTTGTCTTCTCTCTCTCTCTGTATCTAGGCAAGATACTAGCATAGCCATCCAAGAGACTTTAATAGCTGACACCACAAATTTTCCAAAGCAGGAGACAGCACTCCTTGGCAACCCTTCCAGGCATTCAAAATTGTGTTTACTTTTCCTTCTCATCTCTTTCAAAACAACAAGCAGGCATTTTCTATCAGTTCCCGTTTATCTATGCTGTTAAAGAGGAAGCCTAGTACATATAATCCCGGAGAGCTAACAATCCAAAAATTGTTTCTATTTGGCTGAGGAATGCATCCGCGGTAGAGTGAAGGGGCTTGTTAGAGCCAGAGGACTTAAGCCTCAGTCATGGTTAGTCACTGAATGAGCATAGAACCTTTGGAAAATCATTTCAACTTTTCTGGATTTAGTTTCTTCATCTCTAAAATGAGAATAATACTATTTTGTCTCTGGGTTTTCTATGGCTCAAAGGAGACAATACATGAATGTTCTTTATAAGCTGGAAAATGCTATTCAAACATACAGGACTATTTTACAGTTGTCAAGGTCATATTTGAACACCCAGCCATCTGGCATGTGCTGAATCGATCACCTGACCCAGGAGCCCAGGAAAGTAGTGGAGGTCTTTAATCCCACCCCACTGATGAGCTTCTGGACCAGCCCCACTGGACAAAAAGCAGCCCCTCTCGTCATTAACTCACTGTCTGCTGAGTTCATACTTCAAAACCACATCATAGAGGAGGCTAGGGTGTTCTTTAATTAAGTGTCTAATGGAAAAGAGAGGCCTTAAGAGTTCCCTAGATTTCCTCTCTGGCCCACAAGCTGCCCCTTAGAAGAGGAGTAAACGAGTTAACCATTGCCCCTCCCAACACTCACGCTGGAAAGTAAGATTTCCAGAGACAAGTTGTAAAGTGAGTCACGAAAGGCCCCCTGTTTTTCCCTTTGGAACCAGGCGATCACTTGGTTTTGTGCCCTAGGTTGAGAGAGACCCACTCATAGCTCTCTGGAGGTGCATAATGTAAAGCGATGAGGATTGTTTTATTATAGGGCCCGAGATGATATTCCATTTCCTAGCAGTCCATTCAGCTTACACAATTTGGTTTTAATGACATAGAGTCAGCTGATGATTCTAGGAAACTACTTAGGCTCCATGAGACCCCAGCAGAGCACAGTCCTTCCTGGCACCCCCACCCCCTCCAGCAGCCTCATGACACAATGAAGGCCCTAGGCAGCCACAGGTAATCATCTAGAGATGACAAGGGAAGAGAAACGTCTTCGCCATCCCAGCCATAGGTGGACCCTGTTATCACAGAGTTTTCTCTGGCTCTGATAAGCCCCATCACACAGCACAGGGAGGCCCCACAAATTGCGAGGTCTGAGATGTGAGATGTGTATCCCGGGGTGCCCAAAATTAGTTCATGAGGTAAAGGCAGAGTGAGAAGTAGGCGAGGTTAGGTGCCAGAAATGACAACAGAGCTCACCAGGTCTGTGCCATGAGGCCAGAACTAGACCTCTGCACAGATGTGCTGTCAAAGCTGACCAGACAGGAGACCCCCCGCAAGTCTTGGCCCAGGGGCCGGCTTGTACTCTGTGCTTGGTTTAGGCAGGTGTTCTGAACACTGTGCTGGCTGAGGACTGACCCCCTGGACACTCTCCAGCTGGCCTGAAGGGTGGGTCATCTGAGCAGAACTGGGCAGGGGTCTGTCAAGTATCTTCATATCCCCTGAGTCCAGCCAATGGCGAGATTCGGGGTTTGTGCTCAGTGAACAGTGAATGAACAATGAGAGGTGATCAGACTCGGGCTCTGCTCGTTGGGTCTGCTTTTTTCTCTTCAAGATGGATTCTCCCTACCGCTTCTCCCCAACTCTCAACACGGTGGTAAGCAACAGAAAGCTTTTAGAGAACACTCATTTTATCTCAATCGAATGAACTCTATGCCAGTGCTGGAGAAGAATTCTCCCAAGGAAGAATGCTTTTCTCCCTCCTGTCTGCTCACGTTAGTTTCATATAGCTATAGTTCAGTAAAACATTGATCACACTTAATCTTACTTAAAAAAATAATGCTTGCCATCCTTGTTAGCATGTGAACTATATAACAATGGAAAACAAGGAAGGAATGATTTGTTTATCTTGGTGCCCCAGAACTTAATGATGCCCCTCACATGGTCAATGGGCAGTAAATCTACATAGGGACGCAGTTCTGGCAGCAACCATGGCAGACCCAACCCACTTGCCAGTCCACTGCTCTGCCCCAGCGTCATACTGGAGTACAGAGTACAGGCTCTGGAGGCTCCTGAACCCAAAACCTCCCACCCACCTCAAGCTCCATCCTTGGACACCCACGCAGTGCGTCTCTTTTCCACCCACGGGCTAACTGTCAAGACTAGCGTGACTTTGGCCTGAGTTCTTCTCTTTCAGGAAGCAAACCTGTACTTTCAGAGAACCGGAAGTCTTCAATGGTTCCTCAATCAACACAGAATCACAAACTACACCTCTCAGGGCTAGAACGGACCCCAAGGGGTCACCTGGCTTTGGGAAGGTGAGCTACTTTCACGGCCAATGCGATGTCACAAAATCCACAAGCTCACACCTTCTTCCGTAGGCGCCATATGCGCACTCACACATCTTGAATGTGTACATATATACACACGTGTGTGCTGGAGAGCCCGCCCAAGACACATTGTGTGTTTTGACATAGCTCCTCCTTCAAATGGTTAGTCCTTGACTTACTAACCCCCTCAGCTCTCTCCTCCCTCATCGCTAAGTGAGTCCTTCTCGGTTCTTGACTCTGCAAGGAAGGTAGTGGCATGGAGGTGAACCGGACCAGCTGGATTTTCCTGCAGCTGACGAAAGAATCTACCTTCAAGTTGCTCTCCTGGAGCTGGCCCCGGGGCGCAGCAGTTAAGTTTGCAAGTTCTGGTTTGGTAGCCTGGGGTTCGCTGGTTCGGATCCCCAGTGCAAACCTAGCACCGCTTGGCAAGCCATGCTGTGTCAGGCGTCTCACATATAATGTAGAGGAAGATGGGCATGGATGTTAGTTCAAGGCCAGTCTTCCTCAACAAAAAGAGGAGGCTTGGCAGTGGATATTAGCTCAGGGCTAATCTTCCTCAAGAAAAAAGAAAACGTTGCTCTCCTTTTAAGAGGTTGTCAGAATTGCTCAAAGTGTACACACCTGGGAGTCCAGAGAATATCAACGGATTTTATGATTTTAATTAATGACAAATGCAACTTAATACTTTGAGTACACTGACTACATATTATGTATTTGTTGATCAAATAATAGAAACATGCAGTTCAACAGTGGTATATTTCAGATCCAGAGACTTTAGAGAGTTCTTAACACAAGCACTTGTTTTGTGGAGCAGGGAATTTCAGCCCAAAGGAAGAGAAGTGACTTTCCAGAGGCTGCATGAATTAGGAGTATGGATTGAATTATTGCCACGGATAAATCACAATCGGAGCCTTAAGTGCGACTGAGTAGTTGGTGGTGCCTTTGCTCTCTTTCTAAACGTCCCTGGTGGCCTGTGTTACACAGCCATAGAGCTGCACAGGGAGTTTGATAAAGGAGCAAAATCTAGCCTTGGCCTCTTGAACTTTTTGATCTTCTTTATGTTCTAGATGACAAAAGGCTATTGACCATCCTGTCGCAGACCAGGAACCTAAATGCAAAAAGACGGAAGGGCGTATGTGAGGTCAGGGCAACTACACCTCCCAGTGGTTGTTACCTGACTATTACAAGACTCAGCCGTAATCCTCCTAAGCACCTCGAGGAACAGGTGGTGCGATTCTGAGTTTGCATACAGGGAAATAGAGGCTCAGGGGGTTTAGGCAATCAAGATAAAAAGTTGGCCCCATATCACACAGCTGGTAGATGACAGGCCATGGGAGAAGAGTCCAGTTCTTTTACATGAGTGAAAGGAAGTCTACCTGAAGAAACAGGCATACCGAGGTCTCAGCAAGGGGCCAGGCCAACCACAAGGCCTGGTGTAAACTAGGCACTCAGTAGCTCCTCAGTAGTTGAGGAGCAAATGAAGGAGCAGAGGAGCAAGGCCACACAGCTAGGATATTACAAAGTCAGCAGCCTTGCACGTGGGGCACGCCGTGTACATCTGTCTGGAGCACTGATTAATCTGGCTTTAAGACACACAGTTGGCAACCAGTGAGCACTGTTTTACCGTACATGTTGGCCGCTATTGCTTTCGTGTGTTCTTGGGCCTGTAAATCTCAGAATCTCTCATATTCCCTTTGTCTTTTAAAAAATTTATTTTGACACATGCCCACATGTTTCCTCTGCTCAGTCTGAACATATGCCATTCATAAACCATCAGCTCACACATGGACCCGGACATCACGGGAGGTATGGTGCCTGGCTTCACAGCAATCACAGTCTACGGAGACAGGACAGAGACCGTGGACTTGGCACTAAGAAAACTCAGTTAAGGGGGCAACTCAGTTGTGTACTGGTTAACATCGTGCTCTCTGCTTCGGTGGTCCAGGGTTTGGATCCCCAGCATGGACCTACACACTGCTCATCAAGCCATGCTGTGGGGCATCCCACACACAAAATAGAGGGATTGGCACAGATGCTAGCTCAGAG